TGATACTTTATTCGATATCTTAGCGTGTGTAAATGAATTATATTATTCTTGTTGACGTTATTCTTCTTGTTGATGTTATTGTAAATCGCGTTTATTATTGTTGTTGCGTTGATGGTGGTGTTGTTTTCGTATGACACTAGCTATTTGTGTTGTTGCATTGATGGCGTTGTTGTCCTATGACAACCTATTTTTGTTGTTGCGTTGATGGTGCTGTCAACACTAAGTAAATTTTACGTTGTTATTGATCCATGGTAATGTTAGTTGTTAAGTTCTTGTGGTCTTGTTTTTCTTGTTTTATTGCTGTTCTTGATGCAATGATTATTGTGTTGCTGTGTGTTATTAACTATTATGTATTTCAGGCTCAATTCTTCGAACTACGCGAAGAGGCTACACAGAATGGGCTGCAAGTCACCGACGAAGAAATATGGTACTCGCTAGTTGAGGGCCATAACGCGAAGAACCGCGTTCCTGGAGTTGGTGACTACGAGCGGGAAATGAGGAAGATGAATCCGTCCTCCAAACCTCGCCGTTCCAGCACGAGTAGTAGAAGCACAGCGGAGATATCAGCACTCAAAGAGCAAAATCAAAGGTTGCAGGAACAAATTGATAGTCTAACCTCGAACTTGTCACTGACGATTCAAGAGGAGATAAGGAAGCTATATGGTGGTAACCTTCCTCGACGAGGTGATGATGATGGAACAGGAGGGGCAGGGCAGCCCGGGATTTGTTGAGACATTTACGACCTTAGCTTCCTCCATTTTAAACATTTGACACTAACATTTTAATATTTGTTGTTAGAACATAATGAATTATGCTACATTCGCATTTGAAGTTCGCATTAATCTAGATTTGAATTATCAATTTGGGTGTTTGAAATCTTGTTTGGAATTATATGTGTGAAGATTGAATGTGTTTTGCCCCCCTACACACCCCATTTTAATAGGTAGTGCTGAAAACAGCAAAATTCTGGTTCTGGCAACAGGTCATCTGCGACGGACATGACCGTGGCTATATTTGTCGCTGATCTGCGACGGAGATTTCCGTTGCTACTTCCGTCGCAGATCTGTGACGGTTTTTTATATCCGTCGCAGATTTTGCTGGAAGAAAAAAATGAAAACCCCGTTGCAGGTCCGTCGCAGATTTGCCACGGATTATAAAGTCTGTCGCAGATTTTGAATCTGCCACAACTTTTCTGCGACGGAAAAATTTCGTGGCAGATCCGTCGCAAAATAGAAATCTGCCACGGAAAATTAAATTCTGCCACGAAATTTTTCCGTTGCAGAAGAGGAATTTTCTTGTAGTGACTTGAAGTCAAACAAGGAGAACTCTCATACATTCCATCTCATCTGAACATGACGGATCTAATCCTGGAAGCCCAACAGAGAAATCTGGAGAACTCAATCCAACATCTGTCAAACACTGAGTTTGATGGAACAGAAGCTGTAGGAACCATTGCCTCCCACTTCACAAATGATGCTCAGACACAAGAGAAATATAACAACCTCAAGCGCATCAAGGAAGAGTGTGGAGTTATGCAAGGCATTGGTGATACTGCCGAATCATCCAAGCGCAAAAAGAAGTGAAGGCTCTTTTCATCAAAACAGGGGGAAGTCTTGATACATTATTTTGTTTTGATGAAAACACCTTCTTATTTAAACATTAGCTTTTGTTTAAATACTTCTTACATCCCTAAATTATGCTTGAACATTTTCTTTTAAGTATGATGTTTGAGATTTATTAAGCGCATACATTTAGGGGGAATGTAATTCAGGGGGAACTTAACTGTTTTTGGCTAATAATTGTCTTTTGGCAATGAACTACTGATGAACTCTAAGCAATGGAAGACGGATACCTCAATTTTTGTACTAGAGTTGGAGATCTTCGATTCAGGTATTCTACAATATCTGCCTTCTTAAACTAAGTTTTAATCCTTAGTTCATTTCCACTCTCGCTCTAAAGTGCTGGTCCTTAGGATTTTTATAATGTACATGACTTTGGAAAATTAGTACCACTTTTCTTTTAATTTTTTTTGTACTACCTCGTCCTAATTAGAAATTAGAACTATAGGAATGAAAATGATAGTTTTATTTTGGGCCTTGAGAACCCAATAGGAATAATTTCCCTTTAGTGCATAAATTTTTTTTGGGCCACTCTTCTGGGCTTAGCCAAACCAAAACAGTTACGTTTTTTTTTCAAACCAAATGAAACTGATCTCATTTAAAACAGTTTCAACACATTGGTAACCGGTAAAAGATTCTTTCAACTTTTCAGAATTCAACTTCTTGGAAGTTGAAACTCTTTTACTCTCACCGTTCCAACTACCCACTAAATGGAACCCGTGAACCTCCCCTTCTTATCTTCTCCTCCTATTTAAACCAAGCCATTCCAATCCATTCCTATCACAAACAACTCTTTCAACATGAAAAGTCTTCAAACTCACTGTCTGAGAAAAACACCAAGAAATATATTCTCAATGGAGAAATTTTTCTTCCTCACCCTCATAGACGGCAATGGAGATAGCCTGGTGGGAAGAAAATATATTCAAGGTGTATGTTAGGAATCTCGGCAATAGAGAAGGTGTTTGGTGAGAATCTCGCATATTTTTGCATCTCGCCACACATCTTCTCCGGAACAACACTCTCTCCAATTTTTGTTTTTCTTTTTTCCTTTTCTATTTTTTGCTCTTCAAATTTTCTTTTTTAAAATTTTCTTATTCTTGTTTTTCTCCTCTTCCAACACTCTTCCCTTCTCTCTTTCTTTTCTTTTATTTTAAAATTGATTTGAGGTCTCCACTTCTCCTCCCTCTTCCCCTTTCCCTACCTCTCTTCAAACTCTTTTTCAAATTTTCTTTTCAATTGCAGCAATAAGGCAAATCTTTCTTTGTCTTTCAGCTGCAAGACAGGCCTCTTCCCAGGCTTGTCTATCTTTTTAAAACCTTCTGGTTTTCTTTCCCCTTCTTCTATTTATTTTAAAACTTTTTCTTCCCTAGTCACCATATTTTTTTAAACTCTTTTAAAATTTTATTTTTTCCTTCATCTTTAAAAACCCTTTTTTTATCTTCCTTTTCAAAATCTTTTCTCTTTCCCAAAACCTTTTCTTGTTCTTTCTGTCTTTTTCTTTCCTTTCACCAGCTCCTCTTTTCCCTCATTTCTTTTTGTTCTTGTTTTTGCCTTTTGGAGAGATGTTGCTTCCTAGATCTCAAATATCCACTTTGGATATTGAGATCCATCAAACACAATGTCATATGAACTTCCAAGCAACATCCGCTGGAAATGAATGCAGCAAATGGCAGAAAATATCACAAATCTCAAGACAAGACTTGGTTTAGGAACTGTTGTAATTTGAATTGTATTTGTTTAAGAGTTTTTGTTAACAAGCTGTATATTATGAGTACTAAAAGAAAGTTATAAAATTAGTTCTCAGTACAGCGACCGGAACTCTTAAACACTTGTTTGTCATTATCAAAAAAGGGGAAATTGTTGGGAAAAATATTATATATTTTGATGATGATGTATTTAGATTGTAATAGGGACTTTAGGTCACCCCAATAATTAATGTAATTATTCTTTTTAGAAATATTGTTAAAACCGAGTACTTGAGATTTCCAATAAAATTGTGATATTTCACTCTATGGTTTATTGTCAATCTTTGAAGACTTAATCAAATTCAGTGATATGGAAATTGGAATTCCTGATCGGATATGTCAGAGACAAGTAGAGATTTCTCAAAACAGTTGGTTATTTTGAAGGCTCTCTAATCCAGAACACTACACGGTAACCGGATGTCTCGCTACAACAATCCGCTGAAGGCTAAGTCATCCGGATTGGAAGACTAGCACGGATCTCTTTCTCACCTGGAAGTCTATGAATGACTTTTCCGGATTTGTCAGCAAAGAACCAGATGCCTCAAAGAAGACCGGAATTCTCAGAAGCAGACAAGTGAGAAAAGACTTAGAAATTATCTAAGTCTTGAATGAAGAAATTCTACCCGTTGGTAAGGAAAAATCAATCTCTTGATTTTCAACGGCTAGATTGAGGATAATTAAGCTGATTCAAGAACAAATGACTTGAAGACAAAGTCTGGACTTCTCAAATTAAAGAGCTCGCCCAGAATTCCTAAACAAACACAAGAAGTCAAACTGAGTACTCCACTCAATAAAGATCTACAGTCCAGAATTCTTGAACAACAGCTAGAAGACGGATTCTGTGGAAAACGGAATCCCTCCTCAAACAATAGGGTATGTACAAACACCCATTTCAATGAAGAATCCTCAATCACACTCTTTGTTCAAATTGAAGCCAGCAAATGCAACGGATAGTCTATTTTGATTCAACGGATAGATAATCCAATCCAGCTATATATAGCTTCCATGGAAGACTGGAGAACATACAATCGATCCATCATCAACATAAAAACAACGAGAAAAAAAGCTATCTCATTCACAGTTAGCCAAAAAGCTTGATAAAGAGAGATTTCTAAACTCCTTATCCAGAAGCAAACTTCTCCTCCTTCCAAAGAGCTATAGTGTAAACACTTGAAGGTTTCCTTGCCTCAAGTACCACACCACGTTGAAGGATACAACTTTAAGCAAACTTCTTGATTAAAAAGGGGGTACATAAACTTTCCTACAAGTTGATCTTGCAAGTCGTATTGTTCGGATCTTGCGATTATTGAAGAAGCGTGACCTTCGAAGGAACAACAAAGCCAGCACGTGTGCAGGAGCAACATTGGCCTTGCGAAGATATACCGTGCAAAAATTCACACAAGTGTAATTGTTGGTTCATTATTCAACAACCAGCTACATAGTGGATTTTGAGGACGTAGAAGGATTACCCCACCTTCGAACCTCGTTAAAGTTTGCGTGTCTCTCTCTTTTATCTTTACTCATACTTGCAATTATATTAACTGTGAAACTAACCCATCCATATTGATTACTGCTCCAATAACCCACCAAATTCCACACACTATCTAAGGTTCACAAGAACTCTAGATAAATACTCATTTTCACGTTTTCAAAAGAAACGAAAAAGTTTTTAAATTTGTAACAAAGTCTATTCACCCCCCCCCTCTAGAATTTGTATCTCACCACTTTGGGACCACCAACTTGTAAAGTAGTTCTTCTAGAGGTTTTGTCTTTGAAGGGCTTTTGATTGATTTAGTTGAGGTCTGATACAACAGTGATAGCCAAGGTTGAACATGGACTTGTCTTCGTGCTAGTATCGCATCATTAAACAACACCGATGGATATGCAAGCTCGTGCATTTATAGCTTGGTAGCACATTTGCAATAAAAAAGAATAAAAAAAATCATAAAAAAGTACTTCATTGAATAAATATGAACTGGCCTGGAGACATTTAGCCGCATTGCCTGTGCAACAAAGCATGCCTTAATGTAGGATTTAGCCTTGTTCTGCACCATGTTCGGCCAAACAACGCTTGACTAACTCCTTTTCTTTTTCTTTTTACTAGCTACTCTATTTAACTCTAGCTGATTTTTTCATCTTTAAGGGACTTATTCAAAGACACTTCTTCTTCTTTTCTTTAAGACCTTGAAAGAATAGTTTCATTGAATGTTATTTAGGACTGATCTTTTTTTATGTTACTGACTGACTAGGGACATGATTACTTTTAAATCAGAGAGCAATCTAAATGATTTAACAAGTCTTGCTTGTATAGCTCTTCTAATTGAATGTTTAAATAAATTTCTCTTAAGTTAATGGTTGGGCTATTCTTGTTAGAAATTTAAGGAAGATTCTGTGTCAAGTTGAGCCAATATTAAGTTTTGACAGGGTCATACACCTCCAGCAGTTCAGTTTTGACAAGTAAAAGAATAAGAGAACATTTGTTTTATCTACCTTGCACGAGGGCGTGCAAGAGGCTAAGTCATGTGGGGGTATTTGTTGAGTCCAAAATATTCACTAATTATTATCTATTAAATCAGTATTTTCGGGCATTAAAAAATTCATTTTTACACTTAAATGATCATATTTGCAATCTAGGCATCGTTTATAAAATATGTTCATAATGCACACCTTTTAGTTTATTTTTGAATATTATTGTTGTGGACCCAAATTCTCCTTGACAAAGGTTATTAGATATATTCTTCGAGCATAAAGTGCGGGCTGAAAATGTGAAAGCGATCCAGTTGGGCTCTACCCCAACTTATGGTGACAAAGGAATAATCCAGGCCCGAGATGACATAGCCCAAAAGCCCACCTCCAATACACACAAGAAGTTTGAGAGAAGCTGCGTAAAAAGAGAGAGAGACGTGTGAGATAGAAGAGCCGAAGACTCCCTCTCCTACATTGGGATGGCTTCTTCAAGCATAGCTGGAGCCGGAGAATCCGCAGCAAGAAATCAGCGTCAAGAACCCTAATCCAAGACGGAAGAGACAAAGCCAGCGCCTATAAATTGAGGGTGATGCTGCGAAGAAAACACCACCATCATCAACAGAGTAAATCAAGGCTACAAACAAAGGGTATGAACCCTAGGGGGGTTTGGATCTTGGATCTGTAACCCCTTCGTTCCCGTCTTCTTCCCAATTTTCTTTTTACGTTTTTGTTGAATCTGTTTTCTTTACTTTTCAGACTTAATTCTGAGTTGGTTGTTATTTGTTGAGAATTTTGACTTTTGAGTATAATTAGAGAATTGGTTGTTTTGATTATCTCCAAGAGTTTTAAACTTTCATCAATTCTAATGTTGAAATCAAAGTTTGGTTGCTAATGAATGTTCGTGCTGTCACTTGCTGGGCAGTAAACTCTACCTGCACGTTCATCCCTTAGCAATACAAAGAAAAAGACTTCGAAATTGGGTCTCCAAGGTGACCAAGTCAGTGGGTTATTCAAGAAGCATATTTTTGAGAGTATTCTTTATTCTTGTGCCTTTCAAGGTCTGATTTTGTAAAAAATTAACATATGAAACCAGAATTTTTGGAGGAAACATTGAAGCTTGTTGCTTAAAATTAAATCTTTCTATGGGTTAAACTTTTACATCAAGTTTAATGTTCTAAAATAATTCAGCTCTTTTGCTACTATTATTTTAATTCAATAATGTTCTGAGAACTGTTCTTTGTTTATGCTTGAATTGGGTCAAATTAGGAGTGCACGCCTAATCCACTTCAAATTGATATTCTCTTAAAGTCTAAAGTGCTTTAAATAGCTGAACTTTTCTAGAAACTAAGTGTCACTTGACTAGTACTAGGCTGCCTCATTAAGTGCTTTTGGCTAATCAAGGTTTTTGAACTGATTTTGTTAAATAACCTTCGTGTTACTGCAAAGTTGTTACGGTGATGTTTTCCAAAGATTTTAATGCGCTATTCTTAGTAGTAATCTGTGGGTTTGTCTTTGGGTTGCTAAGGGTAGTAGGGTTTAGAGTTAGGGTTGGTCTTAACATGAGCTTTTATGAATGGGAAAATAGGGAAGAACCGTTGGTGGACCTCTTCTTCAGCCTAACCCATGTTTTGATTTATAGTTGGTTGATGATTATGCTTATTTTTTTCAAATATTAGACCTGGATATGTATTTTCTATATTTTATACAACTCTGTTACTCTTTCAAAAATTGTTTAAGTCTTTAAAATAAAGTGTTACGTGGTCTTGTTTGTGTTTTTCTTCTTTGTTTGAGCTTCTGGTGGAGTTATGTTCTATTTTTATCCTTTGTTTGTTGCTTTGAAATATGATCAGATGTTGCGTGTCACTTAGAGTAGCTTTTATTTTACCCTTTTAAACTTTGTTTTTAAACCCCCCCTATTCTATTAGTTTTAATTGTTTTTATTCAATAAAGAAGAAAAAGTAAACTGATTTTTAGAGTTTAGAAGTATCTTTTCTCGTGGGATCGACCCTTGCTTACCCGGCCTATCTATATGTGTTAATGAATAATAATTCATAAAGGGGGTTAAGAGTTAAGGAAAATAATAAAGTATTTTGTAGGTGCTACGACATGCCTAACAAATTTTGGCGCCGTTGCCGGGGAAAGATTAACATTTTACTTAGAATTTGTTTACTTTTGTTTTCTTCAAAAAAAAAAAAAGAGAAAATCTTAAAATTAAAAAAAAAAGTCTTTTAATTTACCTTATTTTAATAGCTCAGGGAACTTAATTTTTTTCTTTCACTCTTTTATCAGTGTCTAGGTCAGTCCATAGAAGTATATTAACTAATATAAATTAGGGTTTTCTTTAGTTTAAAGTCATTTAGTCAATTTCAAAGTTAGAGTTTGTTTTTCTTGTTTCTTACTGACAATTTTTATGAGAAGGTATAGTTACTGGTAGTTTTTCACTTTAACATTTTACTTAACTTTCAAGCATTTTTGATCATATCGAGGATCAGGAACTTAAACTTTTAAAGAGAAAATGTGTCAAAAAGAGTTTCTAGTCCAAGTTTGATCAAAATGAGTTTGAACTTTTAACTAGTAACAATTAGAGACTTAAGATCATAACTTTCTGACTTCTTTCCTTCAAGGCATGTTGACACTATGTTAAAACATGGTTGGACTTAACTAGTTAACTCTTTTTAAACAAGTTTCAGTAGAGTAATATTGCAGCTTTTATGATTACTGGAAGTTTTAATTAGAGTTCAAGTGGTCTGAGCATACACATCTTAAAAAATTCAGCAAACAACAAAAAATACTGATTGCATATATAGAGCAGTTTTTCTTAAGAGACATTGGGAATCTGTCAACCATTCATGTTTTTTTTGCCATTTACTCTTGGATTCTTATATCAAGTAAAAGAATTTTTTTTTGAACCGAAAGCAAATATATTTTATTCCACCATCAAAATGTAAGATACACAATACAACTTAAGAGAAACCAAAATCAAGTGCCCAGTAACATCCTATTCAACATTTACTCCTCTAGAATTAAGAAACATGGTGACTTGGGACTTAATTCTTTTGAAAGTAGCTTCTGGGGTGATGGTGGAGTTCTGGTGAAGTGTATCATTCTTGTCTCTCCAAATATTGTAAACACAAGCAGCAAACACAGCTATACTCCTTATTCTTCTCTTGGTTGGGGAAATCGCTAACAGCTTTTGGGTAATCTCCTCAAAATTGTTAGCCATGAACTTAAAACCAGTCCAACTAGAAATCTTCATGTGTACTTCTCTAGTGTATGAGCATCTGCAAAGAAGATGATCTATGTCTTCTTCTTCACTTTAACAGAGTTGGCAAGATGTATCCATATGTTAAAATCTGCTCAATCTCTTCTTAGTCTGCAACTGATCCCTATATGATAGCCAAAGAATGAATTTGTGTTTAGGGATGGTCATTTTTTTCCAAACAATGGGTCTCCAGATAACCTTCTGTCTTTGGCCCATTAGCCACTCATAGCCTGCAGAAGGGGTATAGTTAGCAGATTTCTCCATATTATTGAATAACTCCCTGGTTTGCAGCAATTTTTCCAGTAGAAGCAAGCATCCTTCTTAATTGGACAATTCCATATTGTACATCCATTGAGATATTTGTTATGGATCCATTTGATCCATAATATATCTTTTTTTAGAGCAATATCCCAAACCAGCTTCATGATGCAAGCAGAATTCCACTTAGACAGATTTTTTAGCCCTAACCCTCCATATTTCTTTGGTATACAGATTTCATCCCAGGAAACCAAAGGAGCCTTCTTATATTCATGAGTTTCAAGGGTTACTTCCAATGAATCGTCAATCTTAAACGCATTTCTTAAGCGAATCTTTCGGGAACCTTTCATTAAACGATCTACATGCGTTCGTGATTAAATTTGGGAGATGTCGCACATCAAATAGTAAGTTGTCGGCTTGTTTCTTGCGGAACAAGTTTCATCATGACTCATCCATCATCGGCAAGTTTGTTTTGTGCATCAAAGGAACTTTGTTAGAATCCACTGCAACACTCGTCCTTTTGCGAGTCATCTGCGTCTCGCATTTGCCTTGTGCAATCTTTTGTTCAGCCCACGTGATGTCAATTGCCTAATCATATCTTGTACTTGTCGTCTAACGGTTCATGCATCATACTCGTCGGTACTATATTGTTAGCATTTGTCGCTGTCATGCGGTCGTCATCATTCGTATTCTTTTGTGTCATGTTTATCAGTTCTACGGCATCTGTGATTATCCATACATGGTTTCGTAAGATGTACAACATACCTTAGTCGACATATGCTTGGGAGTGTATCGTACGCCTTACCTAGCTCGAGTATTTCGCGTGGTGTTAATCACGAGATTCTTCTTTGTTAACCTTGAATGTTGTACCCCGTAACGGTTTTGATGTGCCAAATAAGTGTTCCAAATTCTACTAACATCATTTGTAGGAAGAAAACAAACGCCAAACATCTATTAGCTTGTTTAGCATCACCGAGACATATTCCTACGAGTTTAGAAATTATTGTGTAAAGGTAATGATATATTTTAATGATTTACTTATGCCCTTTCACTCAAAAATTATTTTTAATATGTCAAATATATTCTTAGTTGGGTTATTTTGAAAACGGAACACAAAAAACGAGTTTTGGAAAATTTACAGAGGCCTAACGATACCTGGCTACCGTGTACACGGCACCAGGGACCGCCGGTAGCCAAGTGAACGTACCGCTGTACGCTTCACCCAAGGGTTACACGGTACCCCCTACCGTGTAACGGTACCTGGGTACCGGACGCTAGGCAGAGACGGTCAGCCACCCCCGTCCTAACCAGGTACCGCCAGAGGCGAACCAAACTTTTGGCCTACACGGCACCCCCAAACGGTAAGCTGTACCGTGGTCACGGTACCTAAGTACCGGACGGTACTGACCCTACCGTGAAGGGTACCGGATCCGTTGTAATCACTGTAGCAAATTGCCAATTTAAATTCAAATCACCCCTAATCACTTCCTAACGGTATTTAAGGTTAAAAACTCATATTTTAACATTCCAAACTCCTATATAAACCCCCTCTAAGTCTCATTTTAATCACAACAACTTCCCAATTAAATCTAAAGCCTCTCTCTCTATTCTTGAGTTTTCCTAAAAGCTTTGTTCTTAGTTTTCTTACTCTTTTGAGTATAAAGCTTTCATTATTTTTATACACTCACACACAAGGGAATTTGTGCTTCATTATTTTATATATTGCCTATAGGCTTTTGTTGTTGTTGATTTAATTTTTTTGTTCTTCTCCTACCCAATTCATATTTGTTATTATTTTGGTAGAGAAGTAACACCAATCTTTTATTGATTTGTAAAAGGTGTGGATAGCCTTTAAATCCTCATTGTAAGGTTGAAGATAACCTTAAAATCTTCGGTTGTAAACGGTTGAGATAGCCGTAGTAAAATCTCATTTGCTTATTGACAAGGGTTGTTTGCCAAACCTCGTTTGAGTCTTCTTAGTGAAGCCAAACAAGTTAGTGGAGGTTAAATACTTGAGAACGAGCCTCGAGGTACTGGAGTAGGGAGTTCCCGAACCAGTATAAACTCGCTTGTGTCGTATTTTTATCTTTTATATTTTTCTTGCTCTTTTTCCGCTACTACTTTGCGCATAAGTTTTAGTTTTTACGAAAAACTTGCAAACACCCTAATTCACCCCCCTCTTAGGGTGTAAATCGACTTTCAATTGGTATCAAAGTAGGAAGTTTGATCCTTTCACATTCATCTTTTACTTCTTTTTACAACACATGGATTCAATGAACTCCCAAAGCATTACCAAGCCACCATTCTTCAATGGGGATAAGTATGGCTATTGGAAAATGCGAATGGAGAATTTCATTCAATCTATTGACTATGATTTATGGATAGTCCCACACTACTCATGGTCCTTTTGTTCCTATGACAACTGTAGGTGAACATCAAGTGCCTACGCCAATGGACAAGCTCACAATCGATGACAAGAAAAAACTCTCTTTGAATGCCAAAGCATTAAACATATTGTTTTGTGCATTGGGTCAAGATGAGTTTGCTAGGGTGAGCTCTTCCAAATCCGCAAAGGAAGCATGGAAGCTCTTAGAAGCCACCCATGAAGGAGATAAAGACACCAAAGCTACCAAGATAGCTTTAGGAACATCCGAGTATGAAAACTTCAAGATGAAGGCCGGAGAGTCCGTTCAAGATATGAATAAAAGATTCAACCTCATTATCAACAATTTGAGTAAGCTAAATAAACTTTATCCTACTAGTGAGATTAACACCAAGATTATATTCTCTCTTCCTAGAGAGTGGCATAGTCTTGTTGTAAACTTGTTGCCCAAATGTGCGGATGTTGAAACCTCCACCATTTGGAGCAGCCTATACACTCACGAGCTTCTTTTGAAGAAAATGAAGGAAGAAGAACAGGTTCCTATCATCAAGAAGACCATGGCACTCAAAATTGATGACCATCCGGAAAGCGAAGGAGAAAGTGATGAGGAGCTTGCCATGTTCAAGAGATACAAGAAGTTTATGAAATTGAACAAGGGCGAATCCTCAAAAAGATTTCCATCAAAGAAAGGTAAACCTAATCAAATAACTTGCTATGAATGTGGAAATGTAGGTCATATCAAACTGGAGTGCCCAAAGCTCAAAAAGATTGAAGAGCTTAAAAAGGGGAAGAAGAAGGCATTAAAAGTCACTTGGGACGATTTAAACTCCGACGAAAGTGATAGTGACCAAAGCCAAGAAGAGAACGTAAATGATTGCTTCATGGCCTCCAATGATGAAGAAAAGGTTAGTTCTCAAAATTCATTTACCTCTTTTGAAAGTCAAATTACTTTTGATGAGTTAAGGCAAGCGTTTGATGAATGTCAAGAGGACCTTTTTCGAACCATTAGGGAGAAAAAGAAACTCAAGGTGGCTCTTGAAACTTCTCGTGATGAAAACAAAAATTCCAAACTTAATCTTGAAAAGTTTCAAAACGAAAATGAAGAACTTCAAAAGAAAATTGAAATTTTGATTAAAGAAAAAGACAAGGCCAAACGAGGGGCTTTGGAAATGTTTTACAATAGCTATAACTCAACAAAAGAATGGGATAACCAACCAAAACTAACGAAAGAAGGTATTGGTTATGGGCAATCCACAAACTTGATGAGTATGGCTAAAAACCATTTTAATACCTCTAAAACTAACCCATCAAACCAAGCCTCAACTTCTGAATCAAAAGTAAAGACTTGCCATTATTGCATGCAAGCTAACCATATTGTGACAAAGTGTCCAAACAAATGGTTAGTTGAAATGCGTAAATTAAAATGGGTCAAGAAGGTTTCTAACCGGTCGGAATCCAAGAATATTGGATATCAAAAGAAACCCTTTTTGCAGGAAAATAAATGAAATGATGGTGGATACTATTTCTTTTATTATGACGAAAAACGAAAAGTCCATATACCACTTCCGGAACCTACCAAGACAAAACTCGTATATCGACATAGGGTATTCGTCGATTGGAACCCCAAACCTAAGTCAAAAGTAAATTCCTTTTTGACTAGGTGAAAAATACCACTTGGGTTGTGGATAGTGGATTCTCGAGGCACATGACCAGAACAAGAGGATGGTTCACAAATCTCAAGGAGAAAAGTCATGGACATGTGACCCTTGGAGACAAATCCCGGAAGAAAGTCATTGGTAAAGGTACGATAGGTAATTCAAGTGATTTTTCAATAAATGATGTTTATCTTGTTGATGGCCTAAAATTTAACTTAATTAGCATAAGCCAACTTTGTGACAATGGCCACAAAATTGATTTTAATGCAAATTCCTGCGTTTTATATGGCCAAAATAAAGATGAAATCATTTTTGAGGCTAAAAGAGATGGAAACTTATACAAGTTCAATTCCAATGACTTAAGCAACTCAAAAATCACTTGTCTTACTACTTCACTTGAATTTTCAACTTTATGGCACCGTAGACTAGGACATGCTATTTATGATCTTTTGAGAAAACTTTACTCAAAAGAACTTGTTGTTGGGCTACCAAAAATGAGCATACCTACTCATTTTTGTGATGCTTGCTCCCTTGGAAAACAACATAAAGTTTCATTTAAGCCCATAAAAATGGTTTTAACGTCAAGGCCACTTGAACTATTTCATATGGATTTATTTGGGCCCGTAGACGTTCAAAGCCTAGATGGAGCTAGTTTTACTTTTGTAATTGTAGATGGTTTTTCTCGCTATACTTGGACTATATTACTTGCCAATCAAGATGATGCGTTTAATGCGTTTCTTAAGTTGTGCAAGAGAATCCAAAATGAGAAAGGTTATGAAATAACCTCTATTAAAAGTGATAGAGGAGGAGAATACTGAAATACCGATTTTGAGACATATTGTGATGAACACGGTATTTCTCACAACTTTTTGGCTCCTAGAACACCTCAACAAAATGGAGTCGTTGAAAGGAAAAATAGGACGTTGCAAGAAATGTCAAGGACTATGTTGAATGTGTTGGAGTTGTGCCCTGATGGCCAACTGTTTATCGTTATTCTATCATGTATAGGCAGATATAATATGTTTACACATCTCATGCTAATGTAAACAAATATTATATTCCTAGATTTATATTTAAAAGATGTTTATCAGATAGTGTTCCTCTGCTGATGAGACTAACATCTTGAAATAAATATTTATCTAAATGTCCATAGTCGAGTATTCACGAGAGTGGGATATCGTTAATGCATGTGAGACTAGTGTGTGTTGGATTTTTGACTTAGTCTCATAGTCAATGACGGTGTGTTCGCATCCGCACATGGGCAGATATTATCTAGAAATAATAGGATGCCGGACTGACCCATCCTAAAGATGTTGCTTGAACTTTTAGTTCATGCTCTAAGCATCTTTAGCGCGACCACGGGTGTAACTATCCTTCGACTTGAAGTATTACGTTTTCTGCATATGTGAACCCGCATACTTTGATGCATTGTCCTAAGCCATAT